TTCTCTTTGCGACCAACGGCGTTGTGGAAATTGCAAGTATGGTTAGGCAATTGCCAGACTTAACACCTAATATTGATACGGCTTAGGCTTGCTGCATCCGACAGAAATTGATGGACTCAATTTGATTTCTGCCATAGGCAACCAATTGATTTATATGCTTTAGAACATTTGCCTTTGAATCACGAAGTGTCCATGTTTGAATGTGATTTAGCATCTTCGAAAGGATGGCATAATTTTTTAGACTCGTAATGGAAGATAATGTATATGAATGCAAGTTAATATCATTGTTTTATTTTACCTGTTTCTTTATTAATATCCGTTACGTTTATTCTAATGCGGGCTGCAAAGTTTTCATTTTGCCAAATCCACCAATCATCGATCTCTAACAATGTGTAACTGGACGAAATAATTATATTGATATGACCAGAGAACGTGTATTTATATACATTTCATTAACCTGAACCTAAAATGTGTAAAGTAAATTTTAACTAATATACATTTTTTAAATAGCAGTCAATTTTGATAAAGGTAAACATTTTTTTCATCAGGCACAGTATATATTAATTGGAGCGATGGATAGCTAAAGTGCCTGAGTACTGCCTGAAGCCATCCTCTGACCCTGGACTGAATTTTCTTCCACTCAAATTGGATTCTTAGACAGCTTTTAGTAGACAAACGAGTCATTAGTGCATAACCTGAATAGTATCTGTTTCACTAGAGAGAGCGCTTAAGTAGAGTAAACTAAATGAATCCTCGCATCTTTGCCTAGAATGATGCTTGAAAAACGATACCGCTTTCTGGGGAATACTTGCTCGTTACAGAAGCCAGGCAATTCGACCAACTAGAGTTAATTATAAGAAAATATTCGGTTTCAACCATAATACCGTTTGAAAAATAGTTTTTCTGCCATTCACATCTGTTAAAATTGACATTACCTGTTAAAATACACTAAATAAGCTAACTAGAAAGGCTGTCTAATAATATAAATACATCCTGAGCTACGAATATTATTGAGTGCAGGGTTGACGACCCGTTTACTATGACTTATACGGGAGACTGTTAGTCTTGTAAATAAATAATAGGCCGTCAGCCAAACAAATGAATAAAATATTCTTAGAGTTCAGAAAATTGGGTTTTGGACAGCCCGAAAATACAATATTTATTTTGCCAATATTTCAGCTGACTTTTACTCAAGTCTTAGCATTATTTCTTTAGTTCCCATTTCGACAAATATTGCTTGAGTTTGAATTCCACGAAGAGTTCTTTTTGGATCCAGTCGAAA